CACTGGATCATACAAGCGACAATCTCGTTGAAGTCATCATTTCCCAGTGCTAAGCTGCAGTTAGTAGTTAATGGCGACTGTAGCAGTGATGTTTTGAACGTATTTTCCACATACATACATGCTGTGTATGTTGTGATACAGTAAATTTACGCATAATTCGTTCGATCTAGACTGGACGAGATTGAAAATAATCATTAGGCTATAACAAGGTAACCTGGCCTGCTAGGTGACATCGGAATACATTTCTATGGTCAGTGTCGGCCGGTGGCCGAGTGGTCTGCACGTTTGCTTTGCAACCGAATCCGCGTAGGGGTGGGCATCCTCGCGGTATACTCAGCCCGCGCGCGACTGGTGGTGGTCGCGCGGCAGCGAAGCGCCGTTACGGCGTACAGCTGACACATTATTATTATTACTATTATTATTATTACTATGGTCAGTGGAGTGTATTCTATAAGGCAGAGGTATTGGCATTTCTATTCTAGGATATATATATATATATATATATATATATATATATCAGCGTAACTTAATGAGTTACAGCGTTGCGCAGACCATCGCACCACGTTAAGGTCCGGTCGGATGGACTTCAAGGTAATACCGATTTGGTTATTGCAATCGGTAAGCTATTTTTCTTGTATGTTCCCATTTTGATGTATTCGCTTCTGTTGTGTTGGAAGCTGCATCCTTTCATACTTTATTTGACTAGAATCTCAATTTTCAACGAGGTATCATGCCGCTTTGTATTGGGCAAGTGATCTTTACAATTATCAGCGCAGAACTAGCCGAAGCTCGTGACCATACTTCGAATTTCAGGTTCAGTTAAACCTCAGAATTGACCAAGCATCGCTCGTTTTGTGCTATCTGGGCACGAAACAGTTCAAGGGCATGGGGTTAAGCAGACTGCTGAAAGTGCTTCACTCAACTAGCCAACACATTTTTCTCTTCATGAACTCTTGCGTTCAAAATTTCTTTGGTTGCCTCACTGACTCAAAATGACTGTAGTGGTGGCAAGGACTATTTTGGAAAGCTTTTGGCCGGTGTCTGCCGCTCCACTTCTCTGAATGTCAGCACCCAGACTTCTTCACAACTTCCACTTGACTTCCTGTTTACTTCCATTGCGCTGACCTCCAGTATAGATTTTTGGACTGGTTCACTGATCATTCACATATCCAGTGCAGGATGTACTGCCAACTACTAGTTGCACGAGCTAAAGCTCCATCACCATCGGAATCCGGCTGCACTGAAAATCGATGTCTTCGAAGCGAGAGATTAAGAATCAGTACGCAGGCTGTCCTTGTATTCCTTCCATATTATGGTCTAGGATACTTTCTCGGTCACCACACTAGAAAATCAAATGTTCCTCCTTCTGGCCGAGTTAGAGAAACGTCGATTAGATGTTAACACATTGTCAGAGTTGAGACACGTTCACAAGTGTGTGTGGCAGTGAATAGTGGGGTCAAATAGCCTGAGGATTACGATTCCGTAGTCAACTCGGACCTGTTACTTGGCCGCTGCTTGCGCGCGCGTAGCGCTTTGATGGTCATTCTACCGGATGATAGCACTGTTCGTAGCCTACGCTACGTGCATAGCTGTAATATTTGCTTTCTTTTGTCCGGAATAAAGGGATTACTTGCGGACACCCCATGTCAGTATGCTCCTGAGGATCCTGTGCCACGTACTTTCACATGTTACCCACTTCAACCACAACCATATCTGAGCTTGTACAATGTATTTTTGCAGCTCTATCTTATTACACTAACCGGGTTGTCTTGCTACGAGCGAGTTGACACACCCAATTTTATGTATAATGGCCCAATGAGTTTGGTAAGCACCGTTAGTCTATGTTGAACTGTATCGGCTCGGATGTTGACACAAATATGGGCCTTCCTTGAGGTATTGTTTTAAACTCATCGTTTGGAATGGTAGTTTCTCACTATTTTGTGGTTAATATGAATCAATATGAGAAATCAGTTCAGGGTGATGACTTCTTTTCGGTAAACTCTCATCAGACCCAAACGTTTACATAGCACTGCTTGTGGGGAAAGCGTCAACTCGGGCTGGGATTGACTTCTGGGCTATTTGAACGATCAAAATCGATAATTTGAGGCAGGGACATAGATGATAAGCCAAGTGAACTAAATAACCATGCATACACAAAGCCCAGTAGTGAGTCTATTGCTTGTATAGAACCTACCTCAATTCTCAAGCAGCGCGGGAGCAGAGGTATCCGGACTAGCCACCCGAACACGATGGAGGGCTATACTCGCGTCTCAGACCTCAGCCTGTGATGGAGCCTCTAAACTACCAGGTCTTGGCTCCGCCTTCACCGTCACAGCTGGGAGAAAACTAGTGCTCTCGAAAGTGCTCGACACAACGGACAGACGGCGCTCCCTATTGCGAATTAGTGCACCAGTGTTGTCCTTGATTATCTCATAGACACATTGCTTATTGGGAGCAGTGGTGTAGATCAACTAGAAAAGTACGGCAATCCCCAGTCGCTCCTGCCCCCTACATTACTTCATTCCTACTGGTTCACCTAGTTACCTTGTTAGCACAAAGACTGTATTTTTGAATCCACCCATTGGTTCTGATCCTATTGTGTTCATGACCATCAACGAGTTTCCTTCTAGATGGTAACAATATCACAGACCTCTATGATATCATGTGACTGGTGTGATGGCCATTGATAGTGCCGCAAGTAGCGTCTCCAGTGTTGCGTATGGCGACCGAGATAATATTCCACTGAAACTCGATATCTTTGGTGAACGTAGGTGAGAACCTGATGTGCGGGGATTCTAGGTCCTCTTGCTTGACCGAGGCCTAAGATAAATTCCCAGTCGCCAGTCGTGGGAAACATTTGAAATCCTTCCAGTCACAGTTCATGGAAAATCGGTAGCGAATCAGGGTATGATCAGTCGTAGCACGTGTACCAAGAGGAAGGGAGCCCCAGGCTGGACCTGCGCCATCAAAAACTTATGGTCTAATTGGACCCATAGCTTGTCAGCCAAGCGGCACTTCGGTTCACTCTATGCCTTAAAGCCGTGCTGCTAAGAAACAGCAGGTACTGGAGCACAGTTGGAACAAGCGCTCGCTATTGTCAGTGCGTTCAGGGTTAAGCCCAAAATTACCACCTAGCTGTGCTTTAACGAAGCTTAGATGACCTATTTGCATATTCACGCTACTTAAAACTAGAACGCTACCTTAACTAATAGCATTGCGAAGCAGCCTGTTGCTTCAGCGCTGCAGTCAAAAAGTGGAGTGCCTAGCGCTGCTTCGTGAGCAAACCTTAGTTGATGTTCGGGGACGGGCTGCACACGGAAGGCTGTTTACTGAAATCCAGTCGACCGACGATGACTCTGTCTGGGTTCTGAGCCGGATATCCACCCCAACTTGACCCGTGCTCGCTGCTACAGTAACTCCAGGTGTGCGTAACCAATAGTGAGAGTACAAACTGGGCGCAGTTCATTAAATAACCGCGCGGGAATGATTGATTCCTATTCCGAACACGTAGCACGATTCGGCACTCAGTGTTCGTGCAATTGTGGCCAGGTGACCTAGTCTACTTACGGACGATGGAGGCCGTCAGAGAAACAATGCAGCACTACCTAATAGGAGAATTTCTACGAAATGAATCCAAAGAGTGCTACTGAAATGTGTTACAGATGGCAGAACTTCGATGGTGCTACGACTGCCGTCAATTAAGCTGGGACATAGAAACAAAAAATGTTGGATGTGAAGATTTAGTGTGGATTCAGAGAGATAGGTGCAGGGGGAATGGGTGACATCATATATCCGCTTAAGCACCCCGCTGTATACAGTAGATAAAGTGAGCATTTTGAAACTGCGCGACGGCCTATGTAGGATTTGGCTAGAAGTATGCGTGCTGCCATACTTCCAGGAAGCCGTTGCCTAGACATTAGAACAGTTAGTTCTCAGTCCAAGCCTTCGGTTTTAAAGACTTTCTAAAAATCAGCCAATGGCTGGCAGTGGAAGCCACTAGATTTCCAACTCCTAATGCACCCCGAAGCTGCGTTTGTCTGAACTCTTACAACTGACTAATCTGACGTGATTGGCTCTCAAGGGATCCGAGATCACCACACAATGTAGTTCGCATGGTGGAATACAAAGGCGGACCATCACTTAATGTCATGGTTCAGTGTCTTCGTGATGGTGTTCACTGTCCTTCCGGTTGGATCATAATTGATAGCTTAGGAGTCGCGGCCGCCTGCTACCCAGCGCCAAAGGGACGTTGCACACACGTGACCCACTTCGGCCTTGCCGATGGGATACGTATAGTTAGGGTATATTAAAAATATTACAACTTCGTTTGCCTTTCCACTATTCCGTAGTTTTATACCAACATGCGCTTCCAGTTTCCTCATTGGCTTTGATGAGTTGAATAATTTGATGTGTGCCAGATCACTAATAAAAGTGAATCCGACGATTACTCCACTAGGTTCATTCCTTGCTTGTGTTCCTTTACGAAATGAAACTGTGTGTCGCTTCTCATTCGGTATGCATAATCAAAACACTTATTTGCCGTCACTTTTAGAGAGACACGATGTTTTCACGAATGGTCCACACTCTTAAGATCGTTTCTCATCCAACTAGCGCCTCTCAACGACTCCTCCAATCGTTCATTAACTGTTGTGATAAAAGTCGCCCCTCGGGATTTGGTTGCTTAGGGATAGATGTTTCGCTTAATATCCCATTGGTCCCTGGTTCGATACCTGCCGACTCTTCCAGATGTGGTCAAACAAGATCAAAAGGCATGGTAGAGTGCAATGTTTTCGGGCGGACAACACATGATATCCATCCGTTTCATCAGTTATGGTCCCATGTGATCGAATTGAGCAAAGTTCACTTCAATGTGAATCGCGCCCGGCATTGAGATTGCGCGTCAAAATCCGTTCACACAGCTTCAATATGACCCCTCCATTTGGGCTTCGTCCCTCCTCACGTGTTCTTCTCGGAATTCCCCTCTTTTTATCTGTCCGCAGTTTATCACCCCCGGGTGTCGGTTCAGATCATATACCGTTTGCGTTCAAACTGGGTGTTCCCTCTTCATATCCTGAGTTCGAAGCAGTAAGTCACGCATGCTCTCGTCTATGTGTGTTCGGTGGCAGTATTTGTTTCCAATCGTTGTGCGGCAACTTTCCTCTTGGGAGTGGAAAGCGGTAAAAGTAACATCAGTCTTTGCTATTGACGAAGGCATATTGAATTGTCCCTACTGTAGTGTACTTCCAAGTTCAAAGCGTTCCACAATTTTTTACAGATTTGCTGACCAATGACTCATCACTTCCATCTTAAGTGATCATCGTTCGGAAAAAATCCTCTGTTTTCTTTGCCATGGGCATCAAACTGATTCTCTTGTCTTTCCATATTGATCTTCCTGGTTCCCATGACTTGTATCTTAAGCTGTACTAGCAAATAGTGAGCCCTTTCATGCTACTTTTTGCCGTGTTTTGTAGCATGTTCCGCTACCCCGTTCTTCCCTACAGAATCAATGCAATAACGCTCTATCTTCTGTTATTCTTTTCCGGGCTGTCTAAATTCCAGCGGCCTACTTTCTGGCTTATCACTCTTGAACTCACTTTGCTTCTGTGTTGGGCATGATGTGTTCTGGCTCATTCTCAACCTTCACTCTCAACCTTTTGTTGAGAGCGCATGGCCTGCGCCTCAGGTATTATAATAGTTAAATTTTGGTTCCCGCATTTTTTCTAGTTGTCTTCTAAAGTTCATGAAGTTCTCTTTTCACCTTTGGCGTGTTAGAATCCACTAACGCAGTTAACTGGAAAGACTTTCATTATGTTAAAGGTTTCTTTCACCATAGAACCGAGCACGAAGAAAGTATATCGATGCTTCCATATCTGCAGCCATTTGTAGTGTTCCTGATTGATTGTCGTCGCGAGCTTCTATCTCTTCACGGAATTAGTCACTGAAAGAAATTTTGCAGCCATCGCTTACTGCGTAGCCTCAGCTGTGAGATTGTTCAGCATAGTAGCAAGCGGCTTACTTCAAACACTTCAGTTTAATTCATACACTCTCAGTCGCATACGCTGCATATTTTAACCGTATCATGCCCGTAGTTTCGGATGCTCGCGTCAGCTTCGGTAGATGTCTCACTCTTTTTCACGGCCTCATGGTGTCGTCACTTCTCTCATTTATCTGAATTTCGTACACCATGCATGTGACTGCGCTTCTGCATAACCTTGTTTGTTATTTCAATCGACCCGTTTCGATTCACCTTGTTGACAACATACATGTTCATGTTTATTGTTCTCAACCTAGTTTTCACGTATACATACACATACGCGCACACAGCTGGCGATCATACGCTGTGTTTGGTAACTTGCATACTACACCGACACTTCATTCATGTCATTCAGGCGTCAGGCACCCACCTCATGTGTTCGCTATACGTCTCTTCTTTCATTCCTTAATCACAGTGGTATTAGTTGCCTATGTTTATTCTTAATTAAATGCCTGTCTGGAGATTCTTTTATCATCTCACCAAATTCCGCGATCCCGCGGATTTCAGATATTTTTTTATTGTAAATAGTGTCGGAATTTAAATTTTTTAATCATCTGCCTAGCTTTAAAAAACGCAACGCGACAATAGCACGTACACATGTAATATGTTGAAAATGTGCGCTGATCGATGACGTTATTCTGCATTTGTCCTCGATCGTATTTGGATGGATAAACACAGACATACATCTCAGCGCTCTCTATTTTCCGTATTCATTATTCGAAACGTGATCTGATTATTGTATTGTTTATAATGGAATCCTTTGGACAAATTTCGGTGTTGCTCCTCCCATCACTGGCACACGACGACCGCGGTTTCATCCTGGTTTGGAACCATCAGGTGGAGATAGCCTGAGTTGGAGTGGAATTCAGAGCTTATTAGTTCGCGGCTGACACCCTGAACACTATTCCACTAAGATCTGCGAGCAACGCTTGGCACAACGGAAAGGAATTCAAAGGGACTTGGAGAACCCGCTGTGTGGTTGGATTGCGACACGCAACCTCTATTGGGACTTCGGTACATTTTGAGGTAGACCTCGGTCATTCCGATCGCAAGGACCGTATCCGAAATGGAAATATTTCGGTGTTGCTCCTCCTTCCCTACTTCCTTTCCGCTGTGCCTAGCGTTGCTCGCAGATCTTTGTGGAGTAGTGTTCAGGGCGTCAGCCGTAAACCATTAGGCTCTGAGTTCCACACCAACTCAGGCTATCTCCACTTGATGTTTCCAAACCAGGACGAAACCGCGGTCGTCGTGTGCCAGTTTGGGAGGAGCAACACCGAAATATTTCCATTTCGGATACGGTCCTTGCGATCGGAATGACCGAGGTCTACCTCAAAATGAATCGTGGTCTCAATAGAGGTTGTGTGTCGCAATCCAAGTCCAACTTTGAATTGAGTCCATTGTTAATGCATACACGCATGCATGTGTCATTGTTGTTCAAGACGGAATATTGTGTTGACGACCAGGGATAGAATCTCTTTAACGAACATTTTGCCGTTGATCTGCAGCGCTAGTACAAAAAGTACTAACGTGGCGCATTGGAAGAATGTTTGTTTTGATGACGTGCTTAACAAACTGTGGGGCCCACTAATACAGTCAGAGGAACTAACATTGGAAAGTGAGTATCAGGTGAAATCGATATGTCCGGAAAGTCTGGTCTGATGGTAACTTTCGTGGAATTAGTCATCTAATTGAGATTTGCGAAAACATAGGTATCTCTAGGGGTGGTCTACTTTCTTAACGCTAGGTTAGTCGTCTAAACTAGCATTTGAGGAAGTGTTCATACGGAGAAGAGTATGTGGGCTTATAGAACAGTGAGAAGAGCAGTCCATGGCGCGCTGAAGCTTGTGCTGACGAGTTCCTGACAGATCTTTGATCCCCTTTTGCTTATGTTTTGCCGTGGGCTCATGTTCTGGACGCCTCAGGGCGATCGCTGAGTGGCAGTTGGGTTACACCCTTCTTCTAGCTAAGATCCAGGACACAATTCCGCCTAATTCAGTTCACTGACTCATGGCGCACGACCAGCTGCATTTCCGGTGTACGTTTCATCGAAAGCTTTGGCTGAGGATTTGAGTGCTTCTTCTGCTCAGGTGTGGTCGCCCTGGTATTATACTAGTCCAACAACAAATCATGAATCACGCAAATACATGTAATCCCTTGCTTCACCGGTTTTCGCACAGTGGCACTAGGAAAAAAGTCGCCTTACATACATACATCGGGGATAATAAGCGAAACTTTGCTACCACTGCCACCTCCTTTCTTCTCCCCTTGCACATACTCTCCCCATTCTCATTTCATCTAACCCACTACTTTCTCCAATACAGGTCCATACACGAGCGATCACTCAGCAGAATCATACACCTCCACGTATAACGCTGAACACCGGGCGCTGGAATGTGCACACACAATGCTCGACCGGAATAGAGTAAGCGTCCCGAGCGACTCACTGCACTAGTCACGATGGTACACATTTCCTACAACATTGACATTGCTGCATTCAGTGAGAGTCGGCCCCTTTACTGAAGCTAGGTGTATGTAGCTGGTGCTGGTTACACGTTCTACTGGGTGGGAAACACCACCACAACACCATGTGAACATGGAGTCGGTGTTTACACTATCCGACCCCTTAATGGCCAGCTGGTGGGAGAACCGACTGGCATTTCTCTCTCTCCCTCTCTCTCTCTCTCTCCCTCTTCTTTGTGCGAAGAGAAATAAGCTAAAATTAGCAGAATAAGTTAAAGCTCCTACAAGCCCACGACTGATGACTCTTCGATCAAGTCTCGGACGCTGTAAATTTGCCACTTTTTTAGCATTTATGGTCCCACCATGTGTTCTCCTGATGACACAAGGGATCAGTTATTCTCCGTGATACGGTCTGTGCCAAAGTGCGACCGACTATTTCTGATGGGCGATCTCAACGCGCGTTGGGCGTGGTGCATCAGTGTGGACATATGTTATTGGTCCGCTTAGCATTGCTTCAGCGAATGCGAACGGTGACAGGCTGTTCTGACGGTGTGCCACTAACGGCCTGAGTATCACGAACACTGAGTGCTAGTGATATAGCAACTTGGACGCACCCACGGAGTGGACACGGTCGTGTCATGCGTGAAGTGTAAGCGACCCGATTGATTTGATGACAACGGTGCGACCAATGGCCCATTGGTGTCGGCGATGGATGCAGCGTTCTCTGCACATGTAGCGGCCCCTGTCAACTGCGAGGAGAGTCATTTTCGCAACCGTCGACGGCGATTGACTCGGGCACTCCGTCACATCATTAATGCTACGCCGAACGCCGCCAACATAAGGAATTCTTTGACTGCGTGAAGGCGGTGTATGTATCCACATTTGCAGCTGATGCGGACGCTGCTCGATGCTAATTCAGGCGCTGCAAGACATAATGCAGATCTGGAGAACACATTTTGACCTCTTGAACAACCGTTGAGGGGTTTTCTGACCTACTTTGCATTCGCTGCAACAACAGGAGATGAAGATTTGTCTTTCCGACCCCTACAATGCTTGAGATGCAGAGACCAGTTGCTCAGCAACGATACGATAAGTGCGCCACAGCCGATGGGATACCTCTATAAGTGTTGCAGTACGGCGGACTCGCGTTGGGAAATGTGCTGCACCACGGTGCAATACGTCTGATTGGAACAGGAAGTGCCAGCTGACTTGGAGAGTGCCCTTGTGCTATCCCTGTACATAAATAACTAAATAGTTTATTCTCTAATTCATCGAGGCAAAGGGAGCAGGCAATGTGCCACGAGCAGTAGCTCAGCACCGAAATGACAAATGTGCCGGTGTCGACGGGATCCCGCCCTGAAGTATCGAGACACGACGGACGCTCGTTGGTGAATGCCTTGCACCACTTGATGCAACGCGTGTGGTTTGCGGAGGAGGTGCTTCCTAAGCTGAAGGATACGCTTGTGCTACCACTGTACAAGGGCAAAGAGAGCGAGCAATGTTGCACGAATTATCGTGGCATCAACTTGCTGAGTTGTGTGGGCAAGGTGATTACCCGAATCCTGCTCAACCGCCTCGTCAGTCAGGTTGT